CTAGGGCGTCGGACCGGAGCCGGCTGGTGTGCGGGCGACCCAGGTAAGCGGGACTTGGGGTGCGGGTCCCGTCCTTCCGTCCTTGCCCCGGCTACACACAGGTGACAGCGGGCAGCCCGGGGCCGGAGCCCGCCCCGCCCTCAGCCGGGACCCCAACCCCGGCGCTCCTAGAGGGGGCCTGCGGGACCCGGGGAGGAGGACTGTCCTTCCGTCTCTCCCTCTGTCTCTGTCGCCGGAGTCGGGGTGAGGGCTGGTGTCCCTGCCCGGGAGCGGGGCGCCAGGGGCAGCGGTGGGCAGGGCGGAAGCTTCCGCACAAAGAGGACAGCGTCCCGCACATGGATCGAATTAAAGTCCCCGGCGGCGCCCCACGGTGACCCGGCCAGCCGTCCTGCTTGGCTGCGTGCTGGAGGGCGCCGGGTTTCCGGAGCTTCGGGGACCTCTGGGGCCCTTTACCCAGCCGGGGTCAGGAGAGGGGAGGGAGGGGCGCCAAGACGGCCCCTCTCTGGGCCTTAGTCCTCGTAGATGGCTGGGAAGGGGTGAGCCTGGGCGATCCCCAAGGTGTGTGCATCTTGGCATGGATCCTCCAGCCCAGATCTGAGGAGCCGGGAGGAGGCTGGGCAGCGGCTGGACTCCTGCTCTTCATAACGGCGGGAGCTGAATCGTGGTCCTCCCGGGGGCTCCTCTTTACCCTCGGAGGCTGAATAACCGGCCGGCCTTCTCTTTGCACTTACTGAGTTCCAAAATCCTGAGCGCCCTCTCCGTCTCCCCTCTTATGCTCTCAGCCAGCCACCCTTCAGGACGGACCTCATTCTCACCGTATAAAAAAACCGAATCCCAGAGAGGTTCAGTGACCTGCTCAGGGTCACCCAGCAGGAAGGGGATGGGGCCCGTGTGAATCCAGCTCTGTGTGCCTCCCACCTCCCTGTGGTGGGTGAGAGAAAGGGGGAACCCCTATCCAAGGCTTCCAGGTCCCCTGAGGGGGTGCAGCCCCACCCCCACTTCCAGCAAAGTTTAATTCCAAACCAAGCATAGACTGCTTATCAGAGTATGGAAGAACAAAGCTTGGGGTGGTTCCAGAGTTTTGGAGGAGGTTAGAGGAGCGGTATGGGGGGCCTACTAGGAGCTCTTGGAGACCCTCCCCCCAGCCTGCCTGTCCCTGCCCTGGCTGCAGCCTGAAGCCGGGCTGGGTGGCTGACTGGCTGCATCTCATCCTCCTTCCTTCCTCTTGACAGGAAATGACTTTCCTTCCCTTTGTTCCCACTTTCTCCGCTTACCCAACTGGATCTCTGATCCGCTCTCTGGGGGAGGGAGAGTCAGGGTGGAGGGTCCCCTGGGTAAGGCTGGCTGGGAGGCTGCCCCACAGGGAGCTTTCTCACATGTACCCCCTTCCAAGGTGGCCCCTGGGGCAGTGGAACCAGAAGGAAGCTGAGCCTCCCTTTCCTCCCAGGGCCTGACTGACCCAGCTGACCAGACTTTGAAAAGTCCCCAGCTTGGCCCCTTCCCTTGGGGCCTGTAGTCCCTGCAGGAACTATAGAGAGTTTGGGGAGGGGGTGCCCAGCTGTGAACATCTGGCTCAGCACTGGGACGTTTGCCTTGGATGTTTTCCGAGAAACCACAGATCCAACTTCCCGAAGGGGTAGGCCGGGGGGGAGGGGGGGCGGTCAGTGTCAGAGCAGAGTGGAAAGGAGGCCAAGGGGGCATCCACAGCCATCTGGGGACAGCCCAGAATGTACTGTGGAGAATCAGGGTGGAGGGTCCTCTGGGTAAGGTAATTGGTTGGGATGGGGCCATTCTGGGGTGAGAACAAGCCTGAGAATTTGGGGGTTCCCATGCCATCCAGGGAAGAAAAAGTGTGGCTGAGGTCCAAGGACACCCATGGATTCAGGTCCAATGGTGCTCCGTTAGAGTCTGCCACGATGGCCTGTAAAAGTCACCTAACCTCTTGGGGAATCACATAGCCCATCTGTAAAGTAGGAACGAAATGAGCTGTGTTTAGAATTAGGTGAGTTTCAAGGCACAGAAAGCACTGCGTATAGTGGCTGGCACACAGCCAACATTTCATCAGCAAGTGATCTTGTTGTTTTTTGTATTAAATCTCAGATGCACTCTGAAAATTATTTACAAAAATAGATAATTAAACTTGTAGCAAAGTATAAAACCAAAGACTATGACAGTCAATATAAGCATATATACTTCAAAACATCACTTACAAAACAAGAAACGAGAATAATATTTTAAAGAACTTTTGAAGCTTTCTTCATTTATTGCTTTCTTTTTTGGAAGAGATATTTTATGATCAGACTGAGCTATACATTTTAACCAAACACATAAACCAATTTAAGAGGAATTTGCGAGCATTTGCTGTTCCCCATCAGTCACCAAGATTGCCCACGGTGACCAGCTGGGCTTTATACAGAGGGAGGCCTTTGAGTGGCCCCTCAGGCTCCAAGTCCACCATTAGGGTCCCTCAGGGCCTCTACTCCTCACCCGTCCAGCCCCACTTCTTCAGGTTAACTCTCTGGGTCCCTGTTTACTTTCTTCCCCCATGAACCTATGGGCTGGGCTTTGGGGCCATGTCAGGGTAGCCTAACTGGAGAGTGAGACAACAAGGGCATGCTTTTCCCCCTGGGTGCCCACTTCACACTCCTGAGCTGAGTGTGGTCGACTTGCCCCGCCCCATGGCCCCACTTCAGCGCTGGCCCCGGAGGCTGCTGTCTGCAGGAACCACCCGAGCGATAAAAAACAGGCTCTCTCTGCCACCCTGCTCCCAGATCCTGGCTTTGATGCCTATACTGTGAGCTGGACTCAGGTCACACAGAGATCACAGATATATCTGATGACACATGCAGTCACTTATGGGGGTGGTGACAGTGAGCCAGTGTGCCCTGTGAGCTGTCATCACTCTGTGGAAGCAGACGGGGATCAGGAATCAGGGGAGGCACTGAAATTCAACCTGACTGGGAGGTGAGAGAGGATGAACAGGTGGTAGAAAACACGCCAAGGCAGGTAAGGAAGAAAGTCGAGGACGGGCAAGTGGTCCAGGGTTGTCAGAAAAGGGGTTGAGGCCAGGGGAATTTGGACTTTAACTTGAGGGCAGTGGGGAGCTTTCCAGTAGAGCAGAAACAGCTTCATGATCTAGAAAGATCACTCCAGGGACCGGGTAGGAGGCAGGATTAGAGCCCATTGAGGCACCTGCCTGAACCAGAGCCCTGGTTTTGGAGATGGGGCAGGGTGAGAGATTCCAGCAGTAGAATCAAGACCTGATTGGCTGATGGTGGAGAAGAGGATGCTGGCTGTGGGCGGGGTGGGAGAGGGCAGCAGAGCCAAGTGGCTAAGAGCGTGGCCTCCGGCTCCACTTCTGCGTGACCCTGAACAAGTAACTTCACCTCTTTGCCTCAGTTTCCTCATCTGTAAGATGAGAATAGTCACAGTGCCTCTCCACCAGCTGCGTTGGGGGATTTATGAGTTAATAGGCAGAAAATGCTTAGGGCAGCATGTGCACAAAATAGGTCTTAGTAGCCAGTAGCTCTGATGGTTCTGTCGCCTCTGCTTCCTGGAGGCCAGCCCCGATGCTCCGAACGGTTCACGCTGTTTTCCTCCCACAGTGGAGCTGGCCTGACCTTGGGGACTTTGGCTATCCTAGGAGAATCCAGTTCTCAGGTGAGGGAAATAACTCAGGGTGTGGCCGTGCAGGCGGGGTGGGGGGAGCTGGAGGAGCTGCTCCTTCCTCACACTTAGAGGAGGAAAATTAATCATTCGTGAGGTGAGCAGGGCAGGGCTGCCCTTTGCTCCCCCAGCTGTGCGGCTTGCAGTGAGGGGCAGTCAGGACTGTTGGGACTCACCCTGCAGCCAAGTGCCCTGGTGGACACCTACCCACCCCCAAAGGATGTCCCCAGCCCCTTCTCTGGCTGGGCTGGGTCCCACTGGCACAGTGGGGTGGCCACTCCTGTCTTGCTGAGAGGGAGGCTCCGTGCCCTTGAGGGAGGGGCCTCCGTGTCCTGGCGGAGTGTACCCCCCGCGTCCCCAGCCTTGCCTGAGTCCAAATTCCGGGCTGGGTCCCACTGGCACAGTGGGGTGGCCACTCTTGTCTTGCTGAGAGGGAGGCTCCGTGCCCTTGGGGGAGGGGCCTCCGTGTCCTGGCAGAGTGTACCCCCACGTCCCCATCCTTGCCTGAGTCCAAATTCTGCTCTGCCCCCAGCCCACCAGGAGCCGAGGCAATGGCCTCAAAACCTGAGAAGCGCATCGCCTCGTCTGTCTTTATCACCCTGGCACCCCCACGTCGACACGAGGCTGTGGCTGAGGAAGTGAGGCGGGCAGCTTGTGAGGCCCGGCCCGGCCGCACCAGGGAGTCTTCCGCCCCCATGAAGGCAGCCGGGGCCGGCTCAGCAGAGAGGCCCAGTCTCTGGACGGCCCCCGGCAGGGCCGCAGCCCCGGTGCCAGCTGTGCCGCCTCAGCTCTCCAATGGAGGTAAGAGGGTGGGGAGTGGGCAGAAGACCGGGTCAGAGGCAGCACTGAGGTGGGAAGGGAAGGGCAGACTCGGGTCATTCATTCTTTCATTTATGAAGCATCTAATGTGTCAGCAAACTCTGGAACCCGCCTGCCTGGGTTCGAATCCTGGCTCCCTCACTGCTTGGCTGTGTGATGTTGGCAAGTCATTTAACCTCTCTATTCCTCAGTGCCCTAATCTGTAAAATAGGGATAATAGTATGGTTCTCAAAGTGTTGTTTTGAGGATTAGATGAATTAATACACACGTTTAGCCCAGTACCTGTCATGTAGAAAGTGTGAAATGTGTTACCTGCTGTTATTATTCTAGGCCAGACACTGGGGACATGAAAAGAGAGACAAGGTTTTCAGTCTGCACGAAACTTATATCCTAGTGGAAGAAACAGATAATGAAAATGTAAAATATAATGTCAGGGAAACACGAGTCCTATACAGGAATAAAATGTGGTGCAGCATTTTATGGGGTGGTCAGGATGGCTTCTCCAAGGACGTGACATTCAGCGAAGGCCTGAATGACAGGGTGGAGCTGGCCGGGGAGGTGGATTGTTAAGAGCGGTGGGAACAGCAAGCGCGAGGTCCCTGAGGTAGGAATGGATCTGGCAAGTCGAAGGACCCGAAGGGTGATTTTCTTCTCTCTCGGGCTCTGCCGTTCTCTGGCTGTGTGATCTTACTCAAGCTGTTTCCTTGCTTGCTTTCCTCTGGAAAATGGAAATTTGGTCACGTAGTAGTGATGCATCTGTCACAGAATGGATACTTCATAAATGACTGTTCCTTTACCTTGTACTTCGTCTGGACTGGCCCTGCTGCCATGGTGACAGAGAACCTTCTAGTCCGCTGTCCCTGCCACTTCCATGGAAAGTCTCAGTTGCTGGGTTGGGTGGCAGCAATGAGGGATAACAACCAAGGCCCTGAGGCAGGGGGACGGCTCATTGTCTGGCAGGGCACCAGATGGAACACGGAGGCATGGAGCCGCCAAGGGTGAGAGGCCAGCTCAGGATGGCACCTGAGCTCCCCAAGTCCCCCGGTGCCTACTCAGACAGCCTAGCGAGGCTAGGGCAGCCCGGTGCAGCCATCACCATGGAAACCACCTAGAGACCAATAGGAGGTGCCAGTCACAGGAGGCCAGAAAGGAGCAGGAGAAAAGGCCATACGTGAGAGTACGTCCATATTCATGTAACATGCGACCTCCTAAATTGGTCTTTCCATCCTATCCACACATCCTAAGAACACAGCCTCTCCAGCTGCTTCTCCACATAGAACGAGGACCATGATGAACCAGGTTCACACCTCGGGACATGTGATTCCATGAAAAAGGAAAATGATGTCCCTTCTGGGTAGGAGACAGAGCTCAAGAAATATTATTTAGATGCCAAAATGCCAGAATTTCCAGGACATTTCCATGGGCTATTGGAATTCTAAGCAGAAGATCACAGGAATGTGATTAAAAAAAAAAAAAAAAAGACCTTCCTCGGGAGCAAGTGGCTTCACAGTGACTGGTCAGCCATTTTGTTTGCCACTTGGGTGAACCTGAGCAGAGCACAGTGAATCTTGGGGTTCAGCCTTGCTGGAGTGAGATACCTGCTAAGCGAGCCGCTTGGACATGAGTCCAGTCCCACAGAACACAAAGCAGGCCGGGGGTTCCGGCCAGCTGCTTAAAGCCATCTCTACAGCGGGCTGCCATCCGATGCCTCGTCTAGTGGTTGTCCCCTCATCCTGGCAGAAGCCCCCTCCTTCCCTGCGCTCGTCCCCGTGCCACGCTAGACACTCTCAGCCGCCTCACCGCTCCTGCTCCTAAGTCAGTTTTTCTCGTGGCTTCTCTTTAAAAGGCTGCTGCCTTTGCTCTTGCTCTGGGCCACCTGAACCGAGTCATCCTCGCTCGACGCTGACCTTCTTTCTGCACACCTGCCCTGTCCCCTCTCGTCCCTCGCTTTGTCTTGAATTCCTGCCTCTGCCGGGACCTGCCACCCTTCACAGCCTATTGTCTACAACCTAAGGCAGGTCCTGGGAGAGGCCGCAGCACTCCACTGTCTCCGCGCCTGGTTCCTGACTCACATCGGCTCATCTGGAGCATGGTTCTCACACTTCAGTGGCATCAGCATCCCTGGGGGCTTGTTCAGACACAGCTGGCCTGGCCCCACCCTGGCTGTTTCTGATTCAGCAGGTCTGTCGTGGGGCCCTAAAATTTGCATTTCTTACACATTTCCAGGTAATGTTGATGCTGCAGTCTTTGAACAGGCAGCATCCAGAACTTTTCAAACCATGTCAGTTCTCTGAGCTGACCCCTAACCTGCTGAATCAGAAGCTCTGGGGATGGGGCATTAACAAGCCCCCAGGGGGTCCTCTGGTGTGCTCCCAGGGCTAGAACGAGCTTCCCATATGTAGAGTACATTCCCGGCAGCCCAGAGAGGTGCTGCTGCAAATTAGCAGAGGATGGGACCAGAGCCCAGGTCTTTAGGGAGCAGGGTTTGGGCCACTGGCAATCTGCTTTCCATGAGTGTCTAGAGCAAGGTCTAGGGCAAGGCAGCCTGATCTCGGTGGAGCCTGGCCTACCTTGAGCCGCAGCGACAGGAGGTAGGCACAGTGCCATGTCTTTTACCCTGAGGCACTATTAATAGCACTCACCCTGTACGTGGCAGTGACAGGATTTTCATGGGTGTGTTCGCAGCCCCACACTACGGATTCTCTCCTGACCCTCCAGTAGCCTCTCCAAGGGGGCTGGGCAGCCCCTTGTCAGGGCAGCACGAACAGGTAGGAGTTATTCTAGTGATTGTTCCTGGAGAGCGGAGGGCCTGGGGCTGAGGCAGGAGCTGGGTGATCCCCCGCCCGCCGCCTCCCTCCCTGCCAGGAGCATCCGAAAGGCTGTGCACAAGAACTAGCAGGCAGAATGGAAGGCCACCCTCAATGTCACTCCTGTCTCGCGTGTGTGTGTTTGCTGTTGGGTTATTGTGTGTGTGTGTGCGTGTGTGTGTGTGTGCATGCGAGTGTGCGTGCGGGTGTGTGTGTGTGGGGTTTACTTTAATGAAACTTTGAAACATACACGGAAGTAGGGGAAACAGTACAAGGAACCCTGTATACTTCACATCCAGTTTCAACAATTACTAAGTTTTTGCCATATTTATTTCATCTTCCTTCCTTTCTTCTGTTTTGTGAAGTATTTAAAAGGAAATGCCAGTAATCAGGTCATTTCAGTCCCGCATTCTTCAGGGTAGATCTCTAAATATGGCCATTTTCTTACATAACCACAAACAAAATAAGAATGCCTTATGATTATCTAATATTCTACGCATAATTAATTTTCCTGAGTTGTCATAAAAATGCCTTTTAACTATTGGACTGTAGTAGAATGAATGGTTTACATTATGTCTTGTCCTCCTTTTGAGCTATACCATGCAGTGGAATTTTAAACGTTTTCTCACCTTCACAATGAGGAGAACTAAGTGAGATGATTCATCCTTTGAATCAGGCTCAAATAAGATCTATACCTGCATCATCCAATAAAAATATATGGTGAGTCACAAATGCAAGCCTCATACGTAATTTAAAATTTTCTAGGATCCACATAAAAAAATGAAAGAGTTAAATGATATCATTTCTTATAATATATATTACGCAACTCAATATATAAAAATTACCATTTCAGCATGAAGTCTTTATAAAAGTGATTATGAGGTGGTAGACATCCGTTCTCTTCCATGACTCTTCCAGTACATCTGTGTCAGTGTGGATTCTTCGTGTGCTCGATAGGCGCACATGGCTGGTGGCGATTTCATTGGCCAGCACAAATACGTACAATTATATTTGGTTGTTCTTCTCTAAAGTCTCTTAATTTCAAATAAATCGTCTCTCTTTTTCTCTCTCACGCCTCTGACTTGTTGCAGAAATAAGGTCAGTTTCTGTAGAATGTCCCGAATGCTGATTTGTCTCTTTGCGTCCTGTGGTCTTATCCAACTTGCCTCTCTGCCTTCCAAATTTATTATAAATGGAGGTTAACTCAGGAGACCTGCTTAGATTGTGTTTGGTTTTGGTTTATGTGTTTGGGCTTGTTTTGGTGAGAACACTTCAGAGGTGGTGCCCGTGGCTTCCTATAGCAAACCGGGGATCGAAAGACCCCTGACGTCTGCTGAGGTTAACTGCGGGTGGTGTCAAGCTGCCCCCTCCTTTGGAAAGTTCGCCACCAACCTTCCACTTAATGCTTTCAATACCTGATGGCTATTACCTGAATCTGTTGAACTACTCCGTGGTTCCTGCTTCAGCACCACCTGGGGAGGGCTTAAGCTCCACATGGCTGGGTTTCTGGTTCCGCAGGCGGGGAGCAAGCGAACTTGCATTTCTAACACTCTCACAGGTGTGGCTGCTGGTCCCGGAGCCGCACTTTGAGAACCACAGCCTTAGGGGTTGGATCTGCTTGTATCCCAACAAGGGCCTTCTGGCAGAGGTTTCGGGCATGCTGGTAGCGGGGTGGGAGGGCTACTCTTTGACAGCTGCTATTTTCTGAGTCTGTGGCACATCCCATCCACTGTGCCAAGCCCTCACCTGCATCATCATAGTCTTCACAACAACCCTAAGCAATGGATACCCATTTTCCAACTGAGCAAACGGAGACTCAGCCTAAGTCTCTTGCCGGAAGACACACGTCAAGTCAGTGGCAGAGCTGGGGATGGATCCCGGGTCTGGGTGACCCTGGACCTGAGTCCGCAGCCACCTTGCTGCACAGCCTTCCGGGCAAGTGGACACCTCCTCTGTTCTCCTGCACTGACTGTGGCCAATCCTTTCTCCCCTTCCGGCTGCAGGATGCTCTCTTCCTCCTCCAGCCCTGGATGGCGAGGACGCACTCCCCGACCTGGACCTCCTCCCACCTCCGCCGCCGCCCCCACCCGCATACCTGCCACCTTGCGATGACCAGCCTCCAGCCTCAATGGGGGCGTCACTCATTTCAGATTTAGAGCAGCTGCACCTGCCCCCGTCCCCACCACAGGTACCGCCAAAGCCTTGACCGCAGACAGAGCCCCACGGGCTGGGGCTGGGGAATCTGTGCTCTCTGGGCCTGTCAGGGGTTCTAAGCCTGGGAGTTGTTTAGTCCTTCCTCCTGTTTGAGGGCAGTTCTTCTTCGAAGCTCTTTGAAGCTGGTAAAAATTGGTCATGTTTTTCAAGGTCCCGGAGAAGGAGTGCCATATTCTTTTCCCCCTCAGGTGCCCCTTCAGCTCTGAGAAGACATTTCCCTGGGTCTGATCTAAATCCTTTATGCTGCACAGGAACCCCGTGTGTAATCCTCTGCCCTTCACAGAAATGGGAGGGGCTCCAGGGGGCTAACTGTGCCTGGTACCACCAGACAAGGAGCAGAGCTGAGAGGGCTGAGTGGGGTCCTCACTGAATGACTTCTGTCCTACATGCTCTCCTGTCCCCACAGTCCCTGGCGGAGGGGGCTCCATTCCAGCCTCAGCCCGGTCATCTCAGGCCTGCGGAGGAGAAGTTGCCGCCTCCCCCAGCAGAGCCTGTTGGCTTGGCTGAGAGAGAGGCATCCACAGGTACGGGCACAGGGCTGGGAGGATTCTGGAGGGTCCCCAGGGGCCCTTGTGAGGCTGGCATGGGCTTCCACATGGGAGCTGGGAGAGCAGGGACCACAGCGCCTGCTCCAGCTCACGGGTCAGTGACAGGCCTTTATCTGCATGGCCTTAACCATTTTTCCTTTATAACTAAAAACCGTTCAAATTTGACCAATAAAATTTGCTGCGATAGCAAAAATGCCTTGAACTTTTTTCACTACTTATTTGAATACATAAGACCCTCACATAGTACAAAATAGAAAGCGTGAAAGGAGGGTACACAGTGAAGAGTCCATCCCTGTGTCGATAGCTTCTGCTGGTGATGTCTCGCATACCCTTCCAGAGCTAGTTTATGCGTATGTGAGCAAATACAAATATGTATCCACTGCCTCCCCATTTTTCCACAAATGATAGCAAACTTTGTGCTTTTCTGCACTTTCTTTCCTTCATACATCTTAGAGCTCGTTCTACATCAGAACATAGAGTGGCTCCTTATTCTGCATAATATTCCTTAGCTGGGTCCTACCATGTGCATTTAACCAGTTGTCTGAACGGGTGCTTAGGTATCTTCTCGATGTGACAAATAAGGCCAAAATGAATTGCCTTGCACGTGGGTCATTTTGCTCACGTGCAAATTTGTAAGATAAATTCCTAGAAGAGAAAGCACGATGGTCAAAGGGCAGGTGCATTTGTAACTTCGATATTTTTGCCAAATCGCCCCTCTTGGTCAGCCTGATCTACACTCTGGCCCACAGTGTCTGCGTGCCCGTTTGCCCACAGCCTCTCCTGCTCTGGGTCACTCGTTTAATGAGCAGTATTAAGTACTTACCGTGCACCGAAAGGCCCTCTCTGCCCCAAGGTTATAAACTAATTCTCCTCTGGGTTCCTCTAGTGTCTTTGTGGTTTCATTTTCCACGTTGAGATCTGTACATTTGAGATGACCTGGGTGTGAGGTGTCATGAGAGAGCCCCCCACTCTTTAATTTTTTGCAGATGGCAACCCAGTTGCCCTGACACTTTTCCTAAGCCACTCACACGGCTTTTTACTGCTCCTCAAGACCCTCAGGAGATCAGGTCACACTCACGACACCCCCCAGGAATTCGAGGCAGAGACCTGGCACTCTGGACATGTCCTGGGTGGTGACTGGGTACAGTACTCCCAGGCTGAGTGGATGATGGCCTGTGTCTCCTCTACCCCAGACATCTGTGCCTTCTGCCACAAGACCGTGTCCCCCCGAGAGCTGGCCGTGGAAGCCATGAAGAGGCAGTACCACGCCCAGTGCTTCACGTGCCGCACCTGTCGCCGCCAGCTGGCCGGGCAGAGCTTCTACCAGAAGGATGGGCGGCCCCTCTGCGAACCCTGCTACCAGGTAACCCCCCATGGCAGTTCTCCAGGTGCCAGAGGCCAAGCTGGGCACCCGGGAGACGTTATATTATTACAATCCTGGGCCTCGGGTAGGCGCTCTCGATGCATTTCACATATGAGGAGGCTGAGGCTCAGAGAGGGGCAGGAGCTCGGTCGGGGTGTATTAGTTTCCTGTGGCTGCTGTAACAAATTGCCACATACTTGGTGACTTCAAGCGGTACACATTTATTCTCTTACAGTTCTGGAGGTCAGAAGTCCAAAATCAGTTTCAGTGAGTCAAACTCAAAGCATGTGCTCCCCCTACCCGCAGCTCGAGGGGAGAAGCCGTTTCTTTGCCTTTTCTAGCGTCTAAAGCTGCATTCCTCGCATTCCTTGGTCCATTTTCAAAGTCAACAGGGCAACATCTTACTTCAGTATCACATTTCCTTCTGCGTCAAATCTCCCTCTGCCTCCTTCTTACTAGGACATTTGTTGATGGCATTTAGGGCCCACCTGGATAATCCAGGATAATCTCATCTCAAGGTCCTTAACTCAATCACACCTGCAGAGTCTCTTGCCATTCAGCGTAGTCATAGATTCCAGGGATTAGGACCTGGGCATCTTTGCGGATGTCACTCAGCCTGTCACACAAGGTCATACTCCAGAAGGCGACGGAGCTGGAGTTCTACCCCATGCCCATCTAGTTCTGAAGCCTGTCTGTGGTCTGACCACTCTCCCACCTAGAGCCACGAGGTTCCGATGCACGGCCTAACGGGGGAGTCTGTGTTACCTCTGGGTACCAAATGCAGCCCGGGAGAGCTAGTTCGGATGCCAAGGTATTGGAATCACTGACTCTCCAATGGTGTGAGGTGGCATTTTTCAATGTGGTGTACAGACCACCCACAAACGCACCACCTGGATGTGCATAGGCCTCACCTTGTCCTCCTGATGATAGCACCTGGCAGTCTGCATTTTAAACGAGTCTCTCAGGTGATTCTGAAGTTTGGAAACTACTGACTTGAGGAGTTAGGATATTAGGAGTTGGGACTATCTAGAAAAATCGGAACGATCTGCCCACAGGCAGCGAGGAATCACTGTGGGAGGAGAAAGGACCCCTCTGTCCCCTCGATATGACAGTGGTATATCTTTATCCCCCTCCCTCAGCTTGTAGCCAGGCAGGGGTGAGGCACTGAGGGGAAGCAGAGGTGAGAGGGGATGCTGAGAGCTGGAAACAGCCAGGAGGGACTTGAGCAGTTTGCTAGGGAGGGAAATGGTGCCTCCACCAAATATATATGTAAGATGAAATCAGGTTAAAATTACCAGGAGCACAGCCAGGAAGGGAAGAGACATGTCTAGGAAAAAAGATGGACTGGTTAGAGAGAGGCCTCTTCTCTGTCTCAGTGATATCTCTCTGCCTGTGTCTACCTCTGCCTTATCCCCTGTCCTTCCCGAATGGATTCGAGGCAGTGTATAAGATTATAAGGCTGCACATATACCTCTAGTCAACAACGTTGGACACTTAAAAATGTGTCAAGAGGATATATCTCATGTTAAGTGCACTTACCACAATAAAAACACATTTTTTTAAAGAATACATAACAATACTATGAGATGTGACATAAATAAATCAGAACGGAAGAAAATCAAAGTAGAAAGTGAGATGAGACCAAAGGGAAAGTTAGTACCCCCAAATATATAATAAATGAAAGACCCCTACGGTTGTTCCTAAAA